TATATTATTATCATAAATATATTTATGATAATAATAATTTTAAGTAGTAAAACATATATAATATTTTAAAAAATTAAAATGAAATAAACAAGTGAAATGACATAAAAAAATAAAAATATATTTAATATATGTTTTTTATTCATTAAACTTCTGAATTTCTTAATATCTTTTCAATAATATAGTTAAGGAAGATAATAAAAAAGATATATATAGAAATAAAATTAAAAAATATTACCTAAAGGCGAATAAATTCTTGAATATAAAAATATAAATATAAGAAAATTTGAAAATACAAGTAAAAATATTCAAAAAATCAAGAAAATTAAAAAGATATAAAAAAAATTAAAAATATAAAAAAAAACAAATTCATATTTGAAATATGAAAGAATAACTTAAGATTCAAGTTGAACGAACCAGATTTGAATAAAAAATGAAAAGGCAGAAGAAGTTAAAGAGAAATTCACAGGCTTAAAAACAGGAAAGAAACGTGACATACATAATAAAAAAAGATTATTCCTATTATTTACCTGTTGCTCCGTCGACACGATAGTCGTTCCATCCTTCGTAATGGTTGTAAGATACGTGAAGGTAGTTGTGCATGTCTTTGTGACAAATTCATTCGGTTTATCTTGTGGAAGCATCATTACAACCGCGTCAGACAATGTCAGCGTAGGCTGAGGAATCGAGTTTTCCCATCGTAGAGCTGGTGTTGGTCCTGCCACAATCACTTCAACTCCATTCGACATGATACGAGTTGCCAAGTTAAATCTTCGACCTTCTTCATCTTTCCCTTCTTGTTCTCCTATCGTTATAATTTCATGATAAAACAATCACAAACGATTACCATATTTACATTTTAACAATATCAAATTATATAAATTTATTTATTCTTTTTAAATAAGTATATCTGAAATAAAAGTGAAATAATTCAAAATATTTGTAGTATTTGTAAATACGCCTGAGTAATGATACATAAGAAATATGCTGGAAATAATTATTTAGACGTCAGAACGTAGACGGTCACTGTACATGGTTAAAAAATAGTTTTTTAGATAATCAAGAAACAAAAACATACAGAATAGACTATAGAAATATAATAAATAATAAAAGATCGAGTATGTACAAAATATCAGAATTCATTTACAGTTATGTACAGTTCACTCAAAGTGTCTATTGTACAGAAAACAATTTAGACCGCTATAAGCCAATTGAAGTGAAATTCGAAGGAACAGTCTGTACATCTCGAGCGTGGTAGCCACGCTAGAAAAAAGATATTATTAGTCTAAAGAAGAATATTATTTTTTACAACGATCATCTAATGTCCTGAACTAATGACTCACAATTTCATGATTTTTATTATATAAACTATAAATTTTTTTAAAAATATTCTCAGAAAAGTTACTAATTTCAACAATTTTTATTTTTAAATATCATTTCATGAATTTTTATGAATTCACATCAATACTTTTAGAATTGAGAAAACTATTATTGTCAATTATCACTTCACGAATTTTCAAATTTGAATGAAATTTCTTTATATAATTAGGAATATATTAATTATTTTAAAAAAGAAATACTAAAGAGATCCTCTTAATAAGATTTTGAAGAATTTTGAAAAAGAAAAATTTGAAAGTTTTAAAAACTAACAACCACTTCAGAACACCTGATGATTATGATAGAAAAGGCTTATCGCAAAGCCAGTAGCTACTCACCAGCAACGGTCACCGGGCTATACACAGACGAAACTGAGTACGCTGACGACTCCACGGTAGGAGTGACGGTTACCGTGATGGGCACTGTCAATGTCGTCACTCTCGGTCGGACAGTCGTCGAGGATGTCACTTTCGTCTCCAGTCCGTTTAGTTGCGTCACCACATAAGTATATGTTCTCAGTCGTGTCGATGTAACCACTGTCTCGGTATAGTAAACGCTCGTACTCGGTTCTAAATCCGGGATTTCGGATCTGGTCTCGTGCTCCACGTGCATCGGTTTCGACGGCAGAATCTCGGGAAAGTCTGGCCTCGACAGGGATAAATATAAGTCGTCTGCTAATCCTGCCTCGATTTCCTCGGGGGTCGGCGAAGAAATAGATGTCGTCATTGTAGTCTCAATGCTAGGTGTTGCCTCGAGTATCACGGAAGTACTCTTTGAATCAGACATATACTCGACACCAAGGGGGATCACGCTTGGGATTTCGGAGTCATCCAAGTAGCTAAGAATATTGGAGTCGAATGATTGGGATGTTTCTAAAGGTAGGACACTTGCGAAACTGGGAGATACGTCAACGAAAAATGTCGAAGAAATGAATTCTGTAATTGGTTCTATGGGTTGTATTGTCAGATTATCTTCTTTCTCTTCAGATTTTATTGTAGTTTGTGACATCTGTTTAAGGATGAAATCTATCGTATCTGGAAAGAATCTTTCAGTTTCTAATTTAGAACTCGAAATAGTTATTATAATAGGGTGATTATCGATTGAGAGAGATTGAGTCTCTTTATTGGGAACTTCGGTAGGTTCTTTTAAGGTTTCGGGTTCTATTTGAACTTTTGTGATTTGAGTTTTTATATCCTTTTCCTGGTAATCTTCAGTATCAATTTGGGAAAAATCTTTGGATTCGATTTGAGTTACCGTAACATGAGATTCGATGTCTTTTTTGAGGGAATCTTCTATGTTTTTAAATAAAGATTTCTTTTCCGAATCATCAATTTCAATTAATGTAGTATTGGGTTCTAGATATTTTTCAAGAGAATCTTCACGATTTTTAGATGAAGTATCTTCAAAATTAATTGCAATAGTTGTAACTTGGAATTCGATATCTTTTTTCTGTGACTCTTTATTTTCTGATGAAGAATCTTGAAAACTAGTTTCAGTAGATGATATAGGATGTTCGGTGTTATTAATTTTTTCTTCTTCCTCAGCAATTGTTGTAGTTTCTCTATCAGAAACTATTACAGTTTCTGTTTTTTCTTCAGGAACAATGATTACTGTAGTTTCCTCAACTGGTACTGTGGTTTCTATCGTCTCCACTGTCGTTGCATGTTCTTTTTCTTTTTCATCTTCTTTCTTATCGTCTTCTTTAATATCAGAATAAGTGGTCGTTGGAACATTTTCTTCCAATGTCTCTTCAAAACTTTCTTGTGTTGTGGTTATTAATTCTTCATCTTTTGTCGGTTTTACAGTCGTCAAAACTTCTTCAGACTTCTCTTCTTGTTTCGAATCAACAGATATCGTACTCGTTTCATGATCAGCAACATTATATGACGTTTCTTCAGATTTTTCCAACGCAGTTTCTTTTTTCTTGGACAGATCAGGAGTCGTAAATTGGATTAATGTGTCCTCTCTATTTGAAACATTTCCATCTTCGTCTTTTGTCGATTTAGTCATTGAAATTTCTTCATTTGCATTTTCCTCCTCACTTGTCGTATCCATATATTCTTCTTCATATTCATCTTCATCTTCATCATCAGATGGAGGAAAGAAGAAATTATCAGTGATAATAACCGATGAACATATAATACTTTCATCGATAACTTTCGGCTCAATCTCTTCTGTTTTACTTTCAATCTCAATCTCGTCAGGTTTACTATCGATGACATTAGGCGGTTCCTTCAATTCAGGCGTGACTGTAGAAGTAACATCCTCCTTGTTCTCCATTTCCTCGTTATTATCTTCCTCGAAATATTCTTCATCGTATTCAGACGATGGGGCAGTGAAGAATCCAGTCGTGATAATTGCGAAACTACTAGGTGTAGGTTGTACCGGTCTAACAGCAATCAACTTCCTCCTAGTAATCCTGACTCTCTTTTCAGTACTAGTAGGCGTAACTATAGTCGATCCAATTTTCCTACGTCTGGTGATGGTCACTTTGTGCTTTCCAATTTCCGGCTTGAAACTATCAGTCTCCAAATCGCTGTAAATGGAATTAATCAATCCCAAAGTCCTCACTCGTGTCACCACTATTCTTCTCGGGATATGACTAGTCACAGTCAATGGAGGTTCTTCCACTTTGGAGGTAATAGGTCTCCGTCTGACAACCGTTAATTTATGCTGTCTTCCATTTTTTCTAACGACAGGAACGCGAATTCTCACGCGTTTTCTGGGCGTTTCTTCGAGATAGTCCTCGTCAAATGAAGTCATAGTCCTAGAATTCTCTTCAGGCAACCATATGCGTTTGCTATCGACGTCGCTCGTTAATAGGTAGTAATTGTCGGAGTAGAAGTCATCTGAAAAGATGACGTTTTCTCGCTTGCGTGCACACATTGATCCTCGCCATTGCGTACATTGAATATATATTCAAAGATATATATATATGTGTGTGTTTGCGTGTGTGTGAGAGTTACAGCTAGGACAATTGTGAGCAACAGGCGAAAAGACATATCGAGTCGTCTTGAATGTTAGACCAGGTCATCCAAGGGTTAAATAAAGACATTGTCAAACACATTCCTTATTCGTTCGACTTCGTGCACTTAGTAGAACAAAGTATTGTTATCGACTTATATCTGCCAGCGCGATCCGTTGTCCAACAAACAACCATAGACAAAAGAAATACCATGCGTCGCGTGTGGGAGCTTGTCGCGTGTGGGCGCGCGTGCGGCGGCGGATTCGAGGCTATATTTATGAGATGAAGAGGAGAGAGCCACAAGTGGAAAGAATCAGGAAAGAGATAAAGAAAAGAAAGACTGGGAATGCGAACAGGACGTGAGATGGACGTGAAGAGAGCGAAATGGGTTTTCTCGATCAACCGAAGCTGCGAGCTTTTCTTAAGGCTTTTTCTCTAAGAAGCATTTCTACGAACAAAGAACAAATTTTCGTAAGAATTCGATCTGCAGGCGAGACGTATGATTATCTTAGAATTTGTTGCAATACGCGAGCATAAACGAGCCAGGGAAAGGTCATCAGCTTCGGTCTAGGTGGGTTTTTTTCGTGATAGATTTCGTGATGGACATTATTGAATGATAGTTAAGGACAGAAGAGAGGAAGGATTTTCTAACGATATGTACGTCCGGATGTTAGGTGTGGATAGACGTGGAAATGTGCCGTCCGACGTCACCCACTACGCTCTCGAGACTCTGTGTCGGCGCGTGTGTGTCCTGCGAGTCCTCGCTCCCCGCCAGGACGGTGATCTCCTCCGATCCTTCGTGCAACGAGGGCGGGATAGATGGTCGTACTTCGACGATCAAATCATTGCTAGTATCTCGTCGTTTTCGGGATGAGCTGGCTGTATCGGTTACTTTCACGGTGCTCAAAACAGTGCTGAACTCCCCTGGCCTTCTACCGGATACGTACAACGTCACCACACTGGACTCTTCCCTAGGTGCGCTATCCTCTTTTCTATCGTTTGATTTGCCCCGACTATTCCTCGTTCTGGACGACTTTTGATACTCTTGAATATCTTCCTCCTCGTCAGAATATTCATAACTATCGTGTTTGTAATCTGAATCAGCTGGCTGATGTCTTCTCTCGACTTCACCGGGCAAAGTGTTGCTCTGGGTGAATGGAGGGGCAGCGAACAGAGGGTCCAATAGAGGATTCGTGTTTTTCTGGGGCTGGGGCTGCTGGAGCAACAATAACAACGAATTCAAATTCGCAGCTGGCAAAGCCGCTGTAGGTGTGACCACTACCGTATCTGTGATGAATTCTGTCGCAGTCACTATGTCCGTCGAAGTGTCCACCAGAGTCGTAAGGATTTCCTTGCCACGAAAAGTGAGCGGGATCACAGTACTCTGTTGTTTGGTAATGGTAGTCACATACGAGGTAGTACGAGTATTGTATTGTGTGGATGGTGTACCTTGGGGTTGAAGTAAGGGATTCGCCTGGCCTAACTGACCGAGAAGTAATTGCGATAGAAGAATGTTTGCTAGAGGAGCGTTTCCAGGAAGAGTAGGTTGTACCGTGGATACCACATTTTCTACGGAATAGACGGTCGAGGGCACAATTACTGATTGTGAGGCCCTTCGACCACCTAGGGTGGTCAATGTGTAGGAGACACGAGTGGTCGGCGTCTCATGAAGCAAAAATCGGGTTATCTCGGTCTGACCTTGAGGATTTGTACCGGTTATCTCACTAACAATCACCATTAATGGTTTGCCGTCTCTACCTGTCACTGTACTGTATTGAGATGGACTTAGGACTTCGGTACTAGGTTGCGCGGTAATGATATTCCTATGTTCTGTAATACCATTGTTGACCACAGGGATTGTGACTTCAGTGGGCACGTAATGGGTGACCGTAATGGTACCGTCAAAGTCTGGATACACGGTGGGCGCTTCTCTGATATCTTCCAGAGATCCTCTTGTTCTACTGGAAGAACCTCTTCTATTACTGTTTCTATTGGGAGTTCTCGAAGAACTGCGACTAGAAGGAGGTACGCGTCTCGTACTAGTTGATTCTGAGGATTTATTCGAACCATTTCGCAATCGTGGAGGCCTTACATTATTGTTGTTGGATCTTCCATTCGATCTAGACATAGATGAATTGGGTCTTTTGTAATTCGATCTGCTAGAAGAAGTTCCGTCTTTCTCTCTTAGCGTAAACTGTCTACCATTGCTAGAAGTTGATGTCGGTTTTATCCTGGAGGAAGCGCTTCTGTCACCGTTACTCCCCTGTTTCGATCTATTCCTAGACTTGTTTTGATTTAATTCTGCAGACTCTGCTGATGTTTTCTCAGGATTGTTGGATGACTTCGTTGGAGACCTGGATACTGTTAGAGATCTTCCACGATTATTGTAACGAGCAATAGGCTTGGAATTAGACTTTGAAATTTCTTCTTTGCTGGATACGTTTTCGCTCACGTCTGATTTTTCTTCAGACTTCAAATTTGATTGAGTTGGCCTTCTAAATCTATTAGTCAATGATCTTAATTGACTTGCCTGTCGACGTATTCTTCGTCTAATGAACGGTCTGATTTGTACAGTGGGTCTAATGGATTTGCCAGAACGACGATTGATTCTGTCTTCATGTTCAGAACCTTCGTAATCGTTATCAACTATTTCCTCCACAGGCTCATCTTCGAAATTCTCTTCCCCTTCAGTTTCCAAATCCTCATTAGGCTCTATCTGCTCTTCGGGTAATTCCTGTTTTTTTCCAAATAGGCCTCGAGGCGGAAACAATCCAGTATTACTTTGCCTTGGTCTCGTCGATATTGGAGCGTTTCTTCCATTGGTTTTAGTATTAGTCACCTTAGGAATAGTCGGTGAAGTTGGTCTATTCAAATTTCCGTTTCTTCTTGTAGTCGTTGGTGGTTTAGGCGTTGTACCAGTTCTTCCAGAATTATTCAAAGCAATTGGCCTACGGAATCTTAATAAGGGATTTGTGGATTTTCTCAATGATTCTGTAGTCGTCTGCAGAGGCGTTGTCATAGTTTCACCATCTTCCGCATCATCGGTATAAGGAGTTTCCTCAGTAATCAAAGTAGTCGTTGTGAATTCGTTAGCATCGTTCTCTTGATCATCATGTTTAACCGTTGATTGACCTCTTAATAAAGTAGATGACGGTCTAATCGGTGACCTATACCTGGTGGAAGCTCCAGGAAAAGCAGAACTCGAACCACGAGATGCAGGTCTAGCAGATGATCCTCTAATGGATGTCGATCCACGTCTATTACCTTGAAAGACCGAGGATGGAGATATTCTGGACTGAGGTCTACCTCTGGTACTTCCGCTTATGGTCGAAGAGTATGAACTAGCTGTGTTTGGAGAACCTCTTCTTCCAGCAAATCTTCTAGAACCTGATGGAGACAAAGTAGAGGAATATGGACCTATCGGAGAACTAACTCGACCTCTAGATGAAGCGAATCTATTTCCTTTTCCAGCTAATGTTGCGGTTATCGTAGGTGTTATGTCTGTTCTAGTAATAGTTGTTGCACCTTGAGCACCTTTCCGTTTCGGATTGAACGTAGGTCTGTTTCTAGATGCAAATGGTCTGATTACCGGAGTGAACGTTCTTTTTCTAGTAGAAAAGGTCAGTCTGGACTTTTTCTTAGAACTCTGTCCATCTTCCCCTTCTTCATCTTCTTCTTCACTTTCCTCGTTCTGTTCTGAATCTTCGTCTTGATCTGGAGATTCTGTTATATGTTCTTCTGATAAAGAAGATTGAATCACTGCAGGCGAAGGTGAGATCTCCGGGATCTCAGTAGGCTTGGTAGGTAATAAGGTCGAAGTAGGTGAAATATTTTTTGTTGGAGTAGCAGAAAAGAAACTAGAAGTACTTTCTATGATCTGAGCGTATCTACCCTCAATACTGGTTCCAATCACTTTTGATTGATAGAATGTGGTAGTTCCATTATTTTCGATCTGTCCTTGAATTAATCTTACCAAACCGGTTTTATGACCATGAGTAGGTAAAATAGTTGCTTTTCTCTCCTCGTTTATTTTTGTACTCGAAGTACTTTCGATGACTTTTGCATATAGACTATCTAATAATGTTCCAATTTGTTTTGTGGTAAAGTAAATCGTAGTGATTTCATCAGCATCTATCACGGTACCTTTATTCATCGATAAAATACCTGTTGGCAAGACTGGAGTGGCTACAGACGATGGTAAAGGTGGTGTCTCTATTTTTGTTGAACTTTCCACAATTTGAGCGTATAATCCATCGATATATGTGCCATGAATGTCCGTCATATAATGAGTGATAGTACCATCGTTAACTTGGCTAGATCTGATCGTTGAGATTAATCCAATCTTTGGAAGTTCGCTAGTTTTTGAGAGTGTAATTGATTTCTCTTCAGTTGCTATAGTTTGTTTGAATACTGGTCCATCAATTGCTCTGCCGGTTGCCTGTTGTTGGGTGACAATAACTTCAGGTATGGAGACACTTGTGACAGTCTCCAGTCTGCTGTTCATAATCGTTTCATTGCCAATATAGGAGGTTGTGTAGTAAGTATAAGTAGTATAATATGTAGTAGGTTCAGGTGAAATCGTTGTGGATTCTACAGTATTTTCGAAAGATGACGAAACAATGTTTTTAGAAGTTATAGTGCCTAATTTTTCGTCCTTGGAATTTTCAATAGAAATAGCAGCTGAAGGTGTCACTTCGTTATCAGCAGTGATTTTGGATTCTTTTTCATTGATTAGACTATCACTACTATCCTCAATGTACAACGTCGTTGGTCTATAAGTTATGATTACACCTAATTCCACAGTAGGAGTAGGTGACACTCCTGGAGTAATAACATTGCTGACAGTTTCTTCACGACTAGTGGTAATGGTATCGCCATCTTTGTAGAACGTTGTCCAATAAGTGAATGTTGTGAAGTATGTAACTGGTAAAGTACTCGTCTCTATGGGTACTACTGCTGTTGGCCTGATAGTTTCAGTTACTACATTGGTAACCGTTTCTAGTCGACTCACCACATTTGATTCATCACCTTTGTACATTGTTGTGAAATAAGTGAAGGTAGTGTAACTCGTCTGAAGCAAAAGTGTTGGTACTGGCTCTACGTCATGATGATTCGATTCTGAGAGTTCTTGATCCTCTGGAACTGCGTTTCTCTTGTCCATCACGTCTAATACTGTACCTCCTCCAGAACTGAAAGATGATACCACGTCAGTGATCATAGATCCTAAAATTTCTCCTTCGACTGGTGGATTTGGTGTCACTTGTGCATTTACTTCGAAACCTCGAAATAAATTTTCTGTAATTGGTTGATCTTCAAAAGTACTTGAATATTCTGTTGTAGTCTCTGCTTTAGCCTCAGATATAGTCGTACTCTCTTCGTTATTAATGGTCCCGTGTTGTTGAACTTTTTTGGCAAGAAGAAATGCTTCTTCTTGCGATTTTTGCCTTTGAATAGCTTCCAAATATGCCAAGATTTCTGGAGGAGGTTTTTTGACTGGCTCCTCTATTGATGGTTTCTCAGTTTCTTGGACAAGTGGCATTACAGCGGTTGGCTGAATAGTTTCTGTTACTACATTGGTGAATATTTCTGTTCTTGTTTCTACTTCTGTTTCGTCGTCAACAAATATTGTAGTATAATACGTGTATGTTGTGTAATAAGTCTTGATCTGTTTCCTCACTTCTTCAGTCGGTAAAATTGGAGTTGGACTGGGTTCGATTTCAGGAATCGTTTGTTTTGTGTCTTCAATTTCTTCTTTTTCAATAATTATTCCCGATTCTGTTGGAATATTCTGATCAGTAATGATATCTTGTTCTTGCAACGTTGTAAGAGTATCCTCTGTTGTTTGTTCTAAAGTTGTTGGATATCTTTCAGTCTCTTCCTCACGTTCAAGAGTCGTTGAAGACACAACACTGTCCGAAATTTTTGTTGGCAATATTAAGGTAGATTCATCTTTCTCAAATAATCCTGCAACTACCGCAGACACTCCATTCGGACCAACAGTCTGAGTGATCACATTCGTTTCTACGACTTCACGACTGGAGATGCTGGAAGTACTTTCTTGGAAGAAGGTAGTTAAATACGTATATGTGGTATATAGAGTCTTAAAGATCAATTCTATCTCTTCATCCTGTTTAGTAGTCTGCTCCTCTTCAATTGCTTGATTCGTATCAGGAGTGGTTTTAGTAAATATAGGTTCAGTAACAGCCGTAGGAACAATGGATATTGTTTCACTTGGTAGAATAAGCTCCGTCAAATAAGTAATATCTGAAGACACAACTTCTCTGGAACGAATAGAAGTCGTAGTCTGATCGCCATTAGGAATGAAAAAAGTGGTGTAATAGGTAAATGTTTTATACATTGTGGAAGGAAGGAGTCTAGTAGCTAAAGAGATTTTTTTTTCTTGTTCGATGAACTCGTGTCTTTTGTGATCCTGTTCAAGATTGTTCTTCGAGCTACCACCTTTGATACTACGACCCTGAGGATCTCCAGGAACTATATCGTTAAGAATCTCATCATCCAAGATTGGAGCAATCGATTCTGTGGTACCAAGCACTACTCTTCGTGCGCTTTCCAGAATATCTTTCAATGTTGTTAATACAGAATCTGTGGTATCTTTGAATGGAGTAGTCAATTCATTCATCTCTGGTGGAACTTCCTCACTAGTGGTGATTATTCTCGGCGTGGTGCCTGTTGTCATTTGCAATGTGGTGTCTTGTTCTTCATCAGACTCAGTAGCAGTTGTTCCATAATCCATAGTAGTATCCTCGGTATCATAAATAGTGGTTTCATCAGGGAAAAAGTATACATTCGATGAGGTATGGATAATTTGAGCATAATTCGTACCGATATAAGTACCATAGATCAGACTCTTGTAATGAGTAGTGGTACCATCCTGAGAAGTAGTAGAATCTAAGATTTTCAAAAGTCCTGTTGGCTTCACTGAATCAGTTTCAATATCTGGTATCAGAAGAAGAGGTTCCGTGGACGCCGTTGAAGATTCTTCGAATTCTTCTGTAACACTAGGTTGAATATTGGCTCTGTTGATAGCATCCAATAGAGGATCACCCGTTTCGCTATGCGGATTAAACGTACGTCCAGAATGTTGTTTGGTCTTTTCTTGACCAATAATTACGCTAGTAGGTCTGATCTTTACAATCGCAATTCCATCGTCAGGTCTTAAAGTCGCATCACCTTTAATTGTAGTAGCTGGACGACCAATAGGCGCTGGTGATGTACTTGGTGAGAAAACTATAACCGTTTCACCAACGGTAGTGGTGAATTCGGCAAATCCATGATACGTTACGGTTGCTAGAGGTTTTAAGTCCAATTTCCTCTGCACGGGAGCTTTGGCTTGAGGCTTGAAAATTTTGGGTAATCTGGATCTAAAATTTGTTGGCTGATCCTCTTCGAGATTATCGAAATTATTGGTTACATATTCGTGCGTCACTGTATAAGTCAGAAGATTGTCAGCAGGTCTGATCTTCGCAGGTTTAAATCTCTGTGAATCTGATCCCATTTCTCTTGTACTAAATATATCATTCTCTCTAGATAATTCATCCAACTTCATCGAAGACTTTTTTTCCCCACTCTGACTATCAGAATCTTCTTCTAACCCAGAATTTTCGATATCCTTTAAAGCTTTAATGGGTGCGTTATCAAGGGCCATCTTGAGTTGCCAATCGTCATCGGTAGTTCTCGAAGGATAAACTACATATGGCGTAGGGGAATCTGGCGTAGATTCTTTGTCATAGAATACCCTACTAGACGTGGCCAATATTTTGGCATATACACGACCATTATCCAATGTGGTACCGAGTATCTGAGTGGCGAATTCCGTACTGGCGCCATCTTGGACGAAAGTTCGCGCGGTTTTCGTTAACAAACCGACCGGAGGAATGGATTTGCCAGGTCGTGCCGAGACTAGGAGAACCGTGGTTACACCTAGAGACGATCATCAAGTATGGAACATCAGGAGATAGTTTAGGATCATTCAAAAGCATCAAGAGACAATCGCCGCATGGAGAGCACGTGATGAGCATTATATGAATTTGCATTAATAGTGTTCGTTATAAGAAATAAAGAGATCATCCAAGTCGTATATGGTAAATTCGTTTAAGTCATTGAACAGTCAAAATCGTCAGTATTGGTTTCAGCCAATCGATTTTTCATTTTTTTTTATAAAAATGTACACATGTATATTATTTTTTTCCCCGATTTGTTTGTTTGATTTGATATTTGCATTAGATAATGTAGGTCGTCGGAGAGACGGAGTGGCGGGCGGACGTTGGAGGCAGACGGCATCCAGTTGTTGAGAAGAGTTGTAGGCGAGGAGCAGGCGGGAGCAGTAACAGAAACAGAAAAAAAGAGACAGACGATCTTAGTGGACGAGTCATCCTTGTATATTATAGCTTATAGAGAGCAATCTGCTACGTCCCCGTTTTATTATTACGTATAGTTTATACCCACGAATATCGATTTTCGATCGTTACATGTTTACGAGCCTAGAATAATCGTCGTTCCGTACCATGCCACCGAAAACGGGACTACGTGAAACGTGCGCGGGAAAATGACAATAGAAGGCGCCCAGACATTAAAAAAACTCATCGAATATATTATATATATATTATGTATATATAGTATAATATTTACAGCTCGAGAGACCTGAGAACTCGTTCCAGAATTTTGCTTATTATGATGAAATGGAAACTTTTTTAATTTATTCAAAATTTACAAGAGCAATTTAAAAAAAATTCTAGATTTAATATTTACATTTCAATAACATTTGAATTATTAAATTAGAATATTATCGTTTGAAAGATTTATGTTATTTATTTATCTGTGACGAATAGATATGAAAGTTATGAAAGATTCTATCTGTAGATATTAATAATAATAATAATAATTTTTTTTAATGCGATTATAAAATTTTTAATAAAGTTGCTGTTATTAATTTAATTTAAAATTATTTTTATACGAAATGTTATATGAAGTTATGTAACAATATTTAATATTTTTTATTATTATATATAAATATATTAATAATTTCTTCTTATATAAGTAAGTTAATTTCAGAGCGCAAAAAGAAGGAAGGTGAAAAGAATTGTAATATATTGAATGTAATTGCAACATATGAATATATTGTAATATATTCATTGAACATTTTTAGTCGATTCTGAACAGCTGAAATAAACATAAAAGTTGGTATAAAATTGAGACTTATTTATTAAGTTATAAGTAATTCACTTTAATTAGATAAAGTAAAAATTTCAATTGTTTATAACTTAGGTTATCAAATTGTATTAAATTTATTCATTCTATTCCATTTTTATCAAATTGATTAATCAAATCTCTCGAGGCTTCGTATTTACTGTAAGTCATTGGTCAGGAACCCATTTACCCATGGAAAATTTAATGCAAAGTGACACGAACAAATAAAATAGAAAAAATAAAATAGTATTCGAAAGAATAAGAAATAAAACAAAAAGTAAAATAAAAATAAAGAAACACATAAATATAAGAAACATATACGTATTTCAAAATAAATATAACATCTCATTATGTACACGGCCGCACCTCGCGTCGACACGCACAATGCAGGTTTTTAGAGACAGAATTGGTTTTAACTGCGAGAAAAGAAAGGCTAAACAGCGGAGACAAGAGAAGAAAGCGAAAGAAAAAATTGTTGTCGATAGAATTACACTCGAAAATGATAATATTAATTCTTATAATGAAAGATAGGATATAACAAAGCTAACGAAATATATTAAATTGAACCTACCCTGATGAAGAAGAAAATAAAATCATATTCGAGCGGAATTCCAAAGGAAATAAGTAAAAATTAAATGCAGATAGTCACAGTTTCAAAGGATGGAAGGCTTACCTTGCAGATCTCTTTCTATCCTAGCTGGTCTGACTTCTGTTAACGATCCATTATCTGCAAACAAAAAAATATATTTTCAAGATATTCATATATTATATTATTTATATATTTTTAGAATTTTTTTTTAAATATGAAAGAGTGTGGACATTATTAAAATTTTTATATAATTATTATATATTATTATATTATTTTAAATTCGATTATTTTTTTTTCTATCATTCTTTTCTTAGGAAATTCTATAATAATTTATATTTAATAATAATAAATTTTAATGATAAAAAAAGTTTTTATTATATTTTTTTATCATTCTAATATATAAATTTCAGTGATGGGAAATAGCTGGGAGATCATATGATTATTATGAAAAATTATACTACATTTACCTTTATAATATATATCATATATATTTTAATGATAATTATTTTTATAATATTTCAATGACACTAGAAAATTTTATTTTTTAATCTTTTAACAATGATGAAAATTTTCTATTATTATATATAAAAAAACAATTTGTTCATATATAATTCTACAAAAGATTTATATATTTAATGCCGATCAAGAATATTTAACATTTCACATAAAAGAAGCAATATGTGATGAAGAAATATTCTCGAAGATCGATATAATATCGATATAACAAATACATAGAAATGAATGATTATCATAAAAAGATATTCTGAAAAATATTATCCTTTTTAATAAAAAATCTCGTTTAATAATTCATAGTAATGCGTAAAAATTATAAAAACGTATTATAAAAACGAATAGCTTTAAGCAATATAATTAACATAAATAAATATAATTCATAATAGCTCTACAAATAAGCAATACAACTAACAGATGCTAATTGCTCTACAACATAATATGATTTGCAAAATAAAACATTGAAGATCATAATTATTTTATATATTTTATTCTATATTCTATATTTTTCAACAAATTTATTTATATTTCTAATAAAAATCAGTTTTATTTATCTATTGTTAAAATCCATTTTTTATATGAAAGTACATATATATATGCAAAGAATATATAGAAAATATATTATATAGAAATATGTTTATTTAAACTTTTCAAACAATTCATAGAAATAATTTATTGATGTAATATGTATTTCTAAATATACAAAATATCCTATAAATATTTTAATATTTGAATTTTGTAAAATTTATTATATGAGAGATTATAATAAGAAATACATAAATATAATATTTTGTTCATGTTTTCATAATAATTTTACAAAATTCAACTACTTTACTTGAACTATCTACTATACTATAAATTAATAATTTTTAGGCATATATGAGTTACTATTTTTTTATAAAGAATATTGTGTTTATAAAGAATATTGTAATACTATATAAAAAATATTTAACACCATTTAAAATAAAAAGTTGATTTTTCAATTTTTATATGTTCAGTCACGAAAGAATTAACATATTTATTAAAAATTAATAAATTAATAATAAAATATGCTTTTCTTTACATTCAATTTTCATTAAAAAAAATAATAATAAAAATTGAATAAAGTAATAATGAAGAGAAAATTAAAAAATCAAAATGAAACATTCTGTATTCTATAAATAAAAGAAAAAAGAATTATATTATTATTATATATAAATTCATAATCATTGTATTAACAAATTATAAAAATATACGAAATGATTAAAAATTCGTTTTCATTGGATAACTATATAATATTGGAATGAACACTGCTATCTATTTTATATATTTAGAGAAACATTATATTTATTTAAATTATTATACATAAAAATTTTGAAAAATGTACAAACAAAAATTAATAAAATGTGCATGATATAGAACAAAAAATCCAGAATATAATATAATTTAAATATATTTATCTAAAAATCTATTTTTGCATAAATTAGTTTAATAATATATAAAATAATAAATAATAAATAATATAAAATAAATTAAAAAATTTATTTCTATCTATTTTATTTCTATTCTTTATAATATCAAACAAAAAATTAATTTCTTGTAATTTATATATTTTTATTATAATTTATAAATAAAATTTATATAAGCATATGTTTATTACACATATACATATTATTATAACATATTTTTCTTATTTTTAATTAAAGAATATACTGACAAAATTTTCTAAAAAATTTGACAATCTATGTTTTTCATTCAAATAATTTACATTTAAGTAAATAAATTTAATTGATATGAGTTTATTATTCAAATAATAATAATAAATAAAATTTTTGTTCAATAAATAAAATCATTATAGATCATTTATTTTAATTCATATTTTAATTCTATAATTAATTCTATTAATAATTCTAATAATTACATCACAGAAGTTATTTTTTCAATTCTAATATAATTAAATTATATTACATCTAAATTACTTGTTTTTCTGTTTGTCTTGAAATTAATGTTAATTGATATTTATGCTGTTATAGAAAAAATTGTTTTACATATAATATATATCTTATTTTGAAATTATAAATTATTTACGTCATATGAAATTATACATATTTATATATTTTTTTATATATTATTTACATTTATATATGCAATTATTATAATTATATATTGCAATAAATGCAAGAAGTATTTAAATGATATTGAATTTATTATATTATTTTATATATATATAAAATATTATGAAATATTCTAGAAATATATACGAAATATAAAATATATGCAAAGCATACAATATTAATACATATAAATATTTTCAGTCAGATAATTAAGTACATACATAAATCACATAAATAAAATTTTAATGACATCATTTTGTAATGTTATCTTCTTCCATTTTCATTTCTTATATCCGATTATAATGAAACATAACAAAAAATTACGTATCTCATAAATATCTCATAAATCATGAATAATGATGCAATGTCAGCTTAACACCATTCAGGTTTTATTCTTCAGAATTTAACGACAAAGTGTACCACGAATCGTTTTAAAGTAGGATCTTGGATTCTTCTTCGCAAAATAAGTAAACCAGCGAGGAGACAAAGTCTAGATTATGGCAATGCATGCGTGGAATGAAGACGAAGATCGAATTGAGAAACATTGAATAAGGTGTACGGAATGGGAATGAGAGAAGAAGTTTCTTCGACGATGCTGAAGATGTCGTTCAGAGGCCGCGACGTACAGTTATTTGACCGACTCCTTTCTTCTTCTCGCGAGAATGTTTCCCCTTTCGTCTCGACTCCTGCCACGTGCACACTGATTAAATCTATTTTATGCGCACTGAGTTTCGTGCGAGTTTGATCGATTTGATTATATTATTATATAAAGTAATCTATTTTATATTATTCCCTATAAATGCAATTATGTATTATTATTTCTCTAAAACCGAATTATTTGTTTATTCAAAAAATATTTCAAATAAGATTCTGTTTTTTAAATAAAAGTATATAATTGATTAAATTCAAAATACAAATTAAATTTATTTTTTTAATTATATTCTTTAATTATCAATTGATGTATTATACTATTACTATGAAAAAAATTGAGATGCTTTAACTTCAATTTTATAAAAATCGCATAGAAGAAAGAAAAATAGTATTTTTGTCAATCTATAAAATTATTTTCAAAATAAAGCAAATCCTATTTTATTATATTTATATTTAATAATGATTTTAAAAAATACTGAAAAAAAAAGAAATTCCAATATAAATATTAATAAATAAAAATAAATTCAAAATTAAAATTCTAAATTCTAAATTAATTTCAAATTCATTTCAAATTTCTTTAACTCAAAGCTCAAAAGAAGAAATTAGAAAATGTTACAGAAAATATATTTAATCTAACCTAACCAGATAAACATAAAAAAAGATACAATTATGAATAATTCAAAGTTCTAGATAAAAAATCCATTATCTCAAAAATAATTTCAATGATAACCACCAATTTTAAATCCAAAATCAATCCTAAGTTAACAATTTAAATTTTTTCACTTTCATTTCTCTGAATCAATAAAAATACGATTGCAAATGATGCGAAATTCTATTGCAACACTATATGCCAACGTTACAATGCCAAATAAATGAAAAATAAAAATTCAACCAATTAATTCGTTTCTTGTATTATGGTATGCCTACATGATCCAACTAGTGTCATTAAATCGAACACCGTTGGAACGCAGCCGATAGAGTGGATTCTTTTCTGCACTAGTATTTCATTCATTGGTTAAACTCGATTTGACGAGTTTATCAATTTCGTAGAATTTCGTTTGTCTTGAATGGTCGTCTTCGGTGACCCGGCCTGCCCTACTACCTGCCTCACCTGTTCGCTCTCCGTTACCTTTTAGCTCTATTCGAATCACTTACGTAGAATCTTACGCAGAATCGATCATCAAGTTGTGAGACAATATTTATAATTATAATTCGACAATAATTTGTTACATAATGTGTTCGGTTTATCTATGAATAGCAAAATATATCGAAAAAATATGAATGATACGAAAAAATGTTTGAAACAAAAATTGTTATATTATGATATAAATAGATATTATTAATATTATGCAATTAATTATTTTTCTATAGATAATGATGAACAGAGATCATATGAAGATCAATTTTAATTTTTTAAATGAAATTATATCATTTTTATTGCACATCGATACAATTGATTATTTTTTATAAAAAAGATTATTAAGCTATATATATGAAAAAATCTTTAGTTTAGGAAATATTGTAATTTGAAATTCATAAAAGTTTCGATTATATATGAATAACAAGGAATGCATGAACACACTATCATTTCGCATGTTTCTTGTTTTTCGTTTTTTGAATTATAAATTATAATATCTCTTAAATTAAAGGTTTTTCGATATAAATAATACTTCTTAATTTTTTTAAAGAAATAATTAGCTGCATTAATTAGTACAATAAAAATTATAATTTGATTATAATTTGAAAAATTAAAATTGATTTTTATATAATTTTTATGCATTCACAGAGAAATTATTATATATTATATAATAATTTATATAATATTATATATTATATATAATATAATATATTGTATAATAATATTATATATTATATAATAATATT